TGCCGCCGTTCATTCACTCGATTTCGATTTTATAAATCAAAAATGGACAGTGACTGACTGTCCACTATTTCTAACCTAATTCACAACATTTTTATTAATAATTAATGGATACGATCAAAACAATTTCAATAATACTCAAATTTTCAAATCAGTTCATTTCTATATTTGTATCTCAGAAATACCGAGTATTCTCATTTCGGTGTATAGATGTATGTAGTTTCACGTGGGGGTGAGTTTCTTCACAGCACTTAGGTCAGAAAACCTGCCCAATCTTTTCATGAACGTTAATACAGAACAGAAAGGTATGTTCCTTATATCCGAAATTTGGAGCCAAGTCATAAACAATATGACTTACCGTCTTGTCTTCCATTTCATACTCTTTACAAAGGGGTGTATTCGCCAGCTTCATGTAGAACATGTGCTTACGTAACCTGCAGTGTCCGGTCAGAAAGTAGGTGGGCACCTTTTGACTTTCCTAGAAACTGAGTAGATCTCTTCCGGTCAGGGTACATCAGAGTTTTCTTTGCAAAGACAGCTACTGCTGTCTCATCCCATCTATCGCAAAAAGCTCGATGGGAAATGGAGTTTATCGGCTTTTTTGATGCAGCAATTTCTATGCATCTTTTAGTGCTGAGCAACAAACTATGGCTTCGTGAGCTACCATGGGTCTTATCACAGAAGTGTAAATCCACATTGTCACTTTCGGATTTAGTCCCCAAGTATTCTCAAAGCCCTTCGGCACTGGATTAGTACAATCGTTGCTTTTTTGGTTTTGCAACTAATGTGTGATTTCCAAGTTAGTCCTTTGTCCAAGATAACACCAAAATATTATTTCAGATATTATTATAGAAATATATTTCAGTATATATTTTGATGTATAGAATCTGAACCTAACTTTCAAATGTTTTGATGTATTTTTTTAAATGTTCTGAGGTGTTTAACATTATTTCTTGTGGTACCTACTGAAGTGTAAGTGTAAACATGTTTGTTGTTCTCATCCTAACAAATTTTGTTGTCTGTGTGGGGAAGTTCACCTTAAAAGGCCATAGAAAACTTTTAACCATAAAATTATCTTCTTGATGAACAAAATAACAATTTTGCGTATATAAACTAAGTATCTTGAAAGTCCCTTTTCAGATTGTTATTTTTACCTGACAAATATTTAAACAAAGATGGATATAAAATACATTATCAAAACATATCTACAGTGCATTTACATCCCTAGTACAACTTTATCATCAATTAGGTCAGAAGGTACTCAAACTCATTCTATCAAAAGCTAAATTCTTTCGAGTCGAGAATACAACAACGAAACCTTCTAGCTGCAGGGACAAAAATTTCCTGTTTCACATTAAGAGGTACTTTCGTCGATCAATATCGACATTTAGAATTCAGTTATACATTTCTGCTTGGTATACAACATAATCGACTATTTATTATAATTTTAGAATGTCATTTGTGAACTTAGGTTTTGCACTTTTAGCCATGCCCAATTTTTGATGTTTGTAATATCCGAAACTTCAGAAATCATCACATCAAGAATTGCATCCTTTTTCAGAAATCTAGTCGAAATTAAAACTAATTGTCTAAAAAATGTTATCATATTTCAAGTAGGTTACAAAATGTGGTTTAGTCCACAGCAATACCGACCTGTACAAATGGACTAGATAACTTGACAACATTATTTATGTTTCCACAAAAACTTGATGCTTGAACATTTATGTTTGTATTTGGTTTTTATCTATATTTATCTATCATCTCCTAATCACAGATGATAGTGAAATAAGACAGGGTGAGGATGGAATCATGTTTTTATTTCGACTAACACTAAATCCTTCCAGCAGATCACATTGTGAACAATTTCTATATCATGTAGATTTTCAGTTTAGCCTTATAAAATATCAAAGAGTAAAACAATTGCTGCTAGTTTTAATGTCTGACTGCTGCGTCTTAGGACTGATATACGAAATGATGGCCGGTCAACCACCATTTGAAGCTGATAATGACGACAATCTTTTCGAATCGATTCTTCATGATGATGTCTTATATCCAGTTTGGTTAAGTCATGAAGCCATTAAATGGATTTGTACCAAAAGTCCCAGCGAAAGATTGGGTATGTTACTTACTCATGGATGTGAAGCTGCAATTAGACAGCATGCTTTCTTTAAAACTATATATTGGACAGCTTTCGAGGAACCGTGAGTTGCAACTTCTTTAACAATACAATATGTCTGAAAATATGCAATATATATAATAGGACATCGAAATAAAATAGACAGTGTGCTGATGTCAAATATGATAACTAATATGACAAATTGACACACTTAACAAACATTAGTCAACAGCAATTAAGTAAGAAACAACATAGGTTTTCAAATTCAAGGAATTAAGACTATTTGATTTGTTAGAAGGAAGTAACAACATGATTTCATCCTAATCCTGCCTTTTCCCAGCATCCACTTTGATTAAAAGAGGACAATAACCATAATGCGTTCAAGTGTCAAGTTTTTACATGAATACAAATAATATTAATAATAACATATACACATCGATTAAACATCACAGCTTATTCAAAAGAGGAGAAAACAAAAACTGCTCTAAGATTTTGCTTACCGAATAAAACTTAAGAGTAGATTTACCCTAAGACACAGTTGGATTTCAAAATTAAAAACAATTACAAATTGTGAACTAAGTTCTAATTACATCTCAGGTACATAACTATAAACTACAGCTCAACTAAGGATTAAGTTGATGCACTTGATGAAAAATGTGCATTTTATTATATCGGACAAAACACAAGCAGGTAGCGTCAATATATTTGTATTTTATAGAATGTGTAAAAATAATTTCAGTTACCCAGTTTGACTTTAAGATAAAATTTTCTTTTCAACTTGTAAAGTCATAAATAGAACGTCATCTGGTGAACAATCATACCATACAAGAAATTGGATGGATTATAAATATATTTCCAAGTAATTTGCTTCACTATCAGGGCGTATCTACATCAATATAGTAGCAGTTATAGATTAAGTATTGTATTGTAAGGTCGGTTGCCTGCTTTCCTTCTTTCAATGTTGCTTTGGTCCCCCTACTCTTTCGCAATTGTAATAAGCTATCCTTTGCAACTCTTTTTTCTACTTTTTCTATCATGGTCACCGTCCTGGTTCTATTAATGCTATGTATTTCATATGCCGTCATTTTTGATACTTTTGTATAACTTTCTCCCTTTCTCGTATTAATATTCAATCATTTGGTTAATATTAGAGTTTCAGTTCTACGCAAGAGTCGACTAAGTCGTTCGGTATCGTTTTACTTACACTAAACATTGTAACTCGGAAGTGCTTTGGCATACACACGCTATGCTACATAAAAATTATCAACGGGACAACGTAGAGTACATATCTGCCATTTCTTCATTAGTGTACATTTCTTTTTATTGCTAATAACTATAAGCAAAAACAGCGTAGACAAATGATTCAATAATAGTCTCTAAATCAATAACAGAAGTTTCCATTGCAACTCTAGAAACCTGTACAAATATAATATGCATTCCTGTAGGCATGTATAAATTGAGTAACATGTGAGTTGTAACGCTTTCAAAATCTTCATTTTTCCAATTATGGTCACTACATATTGTGAGTCCCTCTGACTTTAAAATGGAGTTTCTTTTAAACAAAATTGAGGTGATATTCCGAATTTTTGCCAAATTTTATGATAAATATGCCAAAAAGCTAATAAATCAAACGCTAAATTAAATTCATTTTTTATGTGAAATTCTAAGCAAAGTTCTTCTGCATATCTTAACTAGACATTTAAGGTCTTAGTATAACGAAGAGCAATCAAAGAAGAATTAAGAATTGATTCACAGCATTCCATAATATTACCCATAATTAAATTTATTTAAAATTTCATACCCTATACAATATGTATAGCAAAAAGATAGCTTACTATAAGTAATCATTTATAGTTTGGAAAAACGAAACGTTGTAAATGAATTATTGGTTTATCCACGATATGCTTTGTTAAGAATTAGTACAGACACTCCATTTTCATCTCTGCGTTTTCCTGTCCCGGAATCATAAACGACATAACTCACGTAGCACAGTAAACGGCCTAACTGTTGACACATGCATAATTCAAATTAGTCGTCGTAACTTTTTTTTTCACTCAACGAACCTGCGAGACGTGCGTACGTCATACGTGTGTCAATATTGCTTGGAGGGGCGTCACATACGGGGCGGTGGATTTATCACGTAGTTGCCACGGTGTGCGTCGAATGTCAAGTATCAATCACAGACTCTCCCTAGTGATGTGATGTGGCATTTGCCGCACATTGGATCAACGACGTGCTCCCATCAAAGAATATCTAGATCCATAGCACCGAGATCAAAGTACGATATTTTATGTATTATGGATATAAAGCTTTTTAGTTTTTTTTTATTTTGAGAGTCTGATGGAAATTTTATATGAAGAAATATTTTAGATATTATTTAAACATTGTTATTTTAAAAATTAAAGTTAGAATATGCTAGGGTAGATGGTTTCAATTAATTTTAATTAAGGGGTGAAGTTTCGCAGAGTTGACAATCCGCCTGACTTCCGGATTAGGGTACGAAGCCGTTGTAGAGCTTCCTCGGAAATCTCCTCAAATCTATTCCCCCAGAAAACTCACCTTTACCAACCGTAAATACCCTCTTACGAAAATATTAATTCTTATGAAAATATTTAATGTTATTACATAGTTACATAACAGAATGATTTTAATTATTAAAAACCAATGTCAAAACTTTTCAATACAACAATATAACCCGTAGTTTTATATTTTGTTTACTTTTTAGATACAAAAAAATAATTCAATTTAAAATGTAAACCTCCCAGCTACGATTTTTCAATTCGCATTTAAATGGGTATCGATCGCGACAGCCCTACAAATTTTTCGTTGCACAACATTTTTACTCCCCCTATTTTTAAAGTTAAAAATTGCTGCAAAATCTTCCTACCTGTACTCTAGACTCGGTCAGTCCGATTCGCATGGCGATTTCCTCCCTCATAAAGATATCAGGATAGTGGGTCTTCGAGAAGCACCGTTCCAATTCGTTGAGTTGGGCCGGCGTAAACCTGGTCCGGTGCCTTTTTTGCTTCGATGGTTTGTCCCCATCATTCGAATTCGTCCCTATTGAATTCATTGAAGGTATGCCACCGTCGCACAACCCACTTAAACGGGGTTGGTCCACTAATTTTAGTTCCCCTTGGTGCCGTTTCAGGTCCTCGCCACACATCTCTTTGATTCCTACAAAAAATTTAGTGATAGCGAAATCGTACAATATTTAAAAAATATTTAATTTAAACGTATCCATAGGGAAATCAACTCTAGAATATTTAGAACATTTTCAATCCATCTTTATTTAAGTATCCTATCTCCGTGAGTAACATGTATCCTAGGTGAAACTGTGCAATGGTTGGTTAAACACAAGGTTTGCGGATTTGTAACCGAATTGTAGTAGATATCTAATTGAACAATCGAGAATTTCAAATGTTCATCAATTTTAAAGACATTGAATCTGCTCTATTTTATCTCATTCTGCATTTTTAAAATAAAAATTTTGTGTTTTATTTTAACTTTTTGACAGAGAAAATATCGATGTGTTAATCGATGTTTCCTTTGTTTTAAAAAACTTATAATGAGAAATGAAAAATACCTAAAACTCCCGTAGAACTTATCATGTTTTATTTATGATCATTTTCACTGCTATTCCAAACATGTCACTCATTGGGAGTTTAAAGATATCACTAATTATCAGCGCAAATAATCGTTAATCAAGATTCTATGACCAAAAGATCGTTGTAGCACATGTACATGCATTGAGAATTTGGTTCTGCCTTTCAAGATTGTAACATCAGCAGTAGTCAAACAACTGACGAACGCAAACGACAAAGAGGTCTTTTGTAATTTACAGAAGTTTACATTTTTATTGGAGTTTGCTTCCTCTAAATTATGTTACTACTAGTTGTCTATACGAATATAAACGAAAATAAATTAAAAACTAACTTTTCTTCAAATACGTAAGGCATCATGTAAACATTTTTGCAACCCGAACAACAAGATCAGGACAAAACAGAACATATTACGTGCAAAAATGTACAAGATTTGTAAGTAACTACAACTGATAACTGAGACCACATCACAAAATTTCTAATTTCATGTGCAGATAAAGTTAGGACAAAATGACCATCGGAATATCACAAAGACAGTTCCAGACATCGAATGCGACGATACTTGCTAAGAAACAAGGGAATGGTCAAAGAAGAAATTGTGTGTTAAATTAAATCAGTTTTTCGCAATTTGACACCACCAAAGCCCAAAATATTCGTTGAGATGTCGTAAAATTATTGAAATTGAATAAATCAGACAGTAGGAGAAAACACAGTAGACCGCTGTGACCAGTTATCATGGAGGCTATCACTTTTACATGGAGTTATTCGAGAAAACCGCTCTCGGTAACAGGTAGAAGGGCTATAAAATTTAGACAATCTGGAAATATTCCAAACATCGACTTCGGGATTTCTTGCAACACTTAAATAGCTAGAAGTCAATGATAAAGTTCATGACGGAGGAAGACAAAGACAACCGCTTTAATCTATACACTTCGCCTATCAGCTTTGTTTTAGGAATGACAAAACGCCAAACAATAGCCAGCAAACTAAAACAAACAAAAACGCGCTATGGTCTATGTATTGGAAGATAGTCTATAGATTGTCAAATAAAAGCACGTTAAAGTGATTTTAGATTAAAAAATGTTGATCAATCAACAGTCAGCAGAAAATGTGGAAGATTAAAAAATAGAATTGGACAAGACCAGAATACCTACCAGTAACACCTATTACAACCAGAAGATAACCAGAGAAGCAATACAAATTTATCGCCATAAGAATAATGTCAATACAGAGCCATAGGAAATGACGACTATAATTTCTAATGTCCACGCCACCTAGTGAAAACGACATAAATGACATTTTGCTATGTTGTTGTAGCTAAGTAAAAAGGTCATTTTGGCGTTTATACCATTTTGGCTAGGCAGCGTCGATGTAATGTTGGTTCCTAATTTGAGCATTTTAGTTTCAATACCATAAACAATTTGCGCCATATGTCCCCAAAAAGCAGGAATACAATTGAAGTCTTAGTATATTGGTAGAAAGACAATTCGTCGCCTCAAATCAATCATTTAATAACTTCTTGTCTATGATGAAGTGGAACACCATCATCTTTTGTACATTAAACATTGGTTCCTGAAGAATGTTACGTTAATCGTTATTCTAATAAATGCACTGCTAGACCTGGTGCTAGACCCATTGCCATTGTTTAATTTCTAATTTTTTCTTAATTTCTTATTTGAGTATTTTAGTACGTTTATAATACAGAATGCGCATGATCAGAGTATTTCTGTGGCAATTCATTTGGTTTAGTCATTCAACAACTTATAAATACATATTCAGGTGTATTTTTAAAAAAAGCAAAAAAATTGTTAAAAAAATCTAATGAGTATTTGCGTTTAACGTTTTTGTACCTCAGACCTTGGTTTATGTTTGCTTTGTTTCGATTTTGTAACGCTCAAATATGATTATTATAGTAATTATTGATAACCTCTCGCGTAAAGCATGTGATATAAAGTCATTATTTTGGGTATATTGCTGCAATAATCGATTATAAAATAGTGAGCACATCCAATCTGTGGAGGTTGAACATTATATTAATGGTAGCAATGTAGAAATTCGCGGGACAAAGCTAGTCATATAAAACTATATTTTAAAAATTGTTGCAGTTGGAGGATTATCACTAACAGCAACCGTTATAGTTCGCTAATGTTCTACATTAACTACAGGATTTTATTTTATTTTGACCTGTTTTTCGAAATTGTCGAAAGTATACGGTAGAGGGCAAAGTAAAAACTTTATCTTGCTATTAACTAACCTAATTTTATTATTAATAAATCACAACAAATTAAACTAACTATATAGTATTAAATTAATTATTTTCTACAGAGGACATGTAGGCTTGAATGTTATATAAGACCTACAATAAATATGTGGGGAAGCTGGAATTACCGATTTATTTTCGTCTTCAATAATAATACCAATATGAGGGTGAGATCAGAATAGTTGTTGATGTTATCCTATCCGGGTTGTCAATTTGACTCCCAGTTAAAAGTTAAATTTTCTTTTATGAAATGAAAGGTAATTGCAATAATCATTTATAGATCAGTGGCAGAATGTATATTTCGAGGAAATTTTTACTTAGAATATCAATAATAAGAAGTACTTGGCTTGCTAGTGATACCACATTTTCGGTGAGAATGATAGAATAGAATTCTTCATTCTCGAGTAGTTTTGGCATTCCAGTATTCAAGTTCCAACATTTTGTTCTGCTCTAAGCTTCTAGATATTAATATGATATTTTTTGAACAAACTGAAGATAGTATAGTATAACACAGTATTATCAAAATAAATTCTGGGATGCAATACACTTTTTAGATATTTAATAAAAAGATAATACTTTTATAAAATGTTTCAAAATGTTATGAAAGTTTTATGCCAAAGAATTAGGATATTTTCTTAAAATTGGTATAATTTGTGTGTATTAGCAAAAGAAAGGTGAAGAGACTAAATATTATTAAATTCATGATAACATGCACCTCATAGTATGTAGATAAAAGTTGATTAAGAGAAGAAACTCAATGAGAAGAAAACAAAAAATAAGTATCACTTTCTTGAATAGCTCTATCTTAAAGAAATTAATGGTACATTAATAACGTACCGACCATCATTGTGATGCCGGTCTCCACTGAAATCTCCTCATTGTCGATTTGACCAAAGTATTATCAATACCTCAAGCACAGCACAAATTCACAACGTATACAAAATGATAACTTGAAGACACCGAATATCGAAAAGGAAGCAAACCTTCGCGATATGAACACCGTGACGAGAAGACGAAGCGGCCGTCGGCGGAAGCTCGAGACGTACTGACCGAAGGTCTTCGGGGGGGCTCATCAACAGAAGCTTCCACCTCCACCCCCCCGCCTCAAGCAAATGCCCCCCGAGTCAAGCCAACTGTAATGAGGGCGAGGCTCACCAAATTATCCCCCAGTTTAACCCGGTTCAAGTCGCCGTCGTCATCCGCTAAAGACTTTAGCATTAATTAGCGGTAGGTTTTGCCCTCCCACCCGGACGACACTTACCGACCGAATTGAGATTGTTGAGCATGATGGAAGCCGCAGACGCAGCGGCCGCAGTTCTTGCTGTGAAGGCCTCCAGAATATAATCTTTCGCCGGAACGGTAAAGCACCACCGTGCCACTGTTTATTTAATGAGTACTGATTTGATACTGAATTGTGAATATGCCGCCGCCGCCGGCAGAAAGACCTTCCGTTTCAGATGAGAGAGAACGAGCTCGCAGAAGGTGTGTCTGGTGGGGATCCAATGGGGCCCCGAAAACCACCGGGGCGGAGCTCCTATCGGTGGGCGTCGTCGTTGATTGTAGTGGAGAAAACAGCAGTTGCCGGGCGGAATCGACTGTCAAAACTTCTTCTCCCACGGACTCGAAGGAGGGGTGGTGTTGTGGTCCTTCAAGAATCCATAGATACACGATTGCTTCTCTTCAATAACTTTTACTTCAGCTTTTAGTAATTCTACGTTTTATATATTGTTGTAGTTCTTCAAATCAAATTAAATTTTGCAACAAATTATGAAGAGTAGCGAAATATTCACTTGTTAGTAATTTTGGCAAAATTTATTCTGATTATATTTATCCAAATCAAAACTGAATTCCACATCAAATTCAAGCAAAAGTTATTTATTGAATGATCGCAGAATTATGGATAAACAAAACAAATATGTTGCTTTATTGGCATTTGCAGAAATTTATGCTAACATTTCTGCCATTATTTCATGCCAATTCTCTTCCCAAACTGAGCATAAATTTTCTTTTTGCATCAATGTTTTATTCTCCAAATTTTTGATTTTCTTCTTGTATATACAGTTGCCTTGGAATCAATTGATCCTCAGTTAGGCAGAGTTAGGCTGTTTGTTGTATCCATAGAAATTGATGGTTTTGTTGTAATGAAGCATAATATTCAGTTTGCATTGTGTATTTTCCACTCAAACTTTATCATTTTTTTCCGATGAAAGTAACATTATCATAATATTTCGTGTCATTTTTGTATCATGTAACTATTCAGTTTTATTTGAAAGGACCCCGAAAACCTCTTTGGTCTCTTGCCTGAGGTTGGTTTAAATAATGACTCAGATGAATGTAATTCATCTAACCTGGCATTCCAGCTTCAATTGTCTTTCCAGATTCATGTAACCTGATGTAACCAACACCATTCTACAAGAAACCAAGATTAAACATTATGCTGCAAAAAAGGTTTGTGTGTAATTTCAAGTTTACTTCTGTTAGTGTAAGTAGTTATTGTGGTTTGTACCCTTTATGATAAAGAATGCCGTTAAACCTGGATCGAATTAAACCAAGAAGATATAATTAGTAGGTATACTACTGCAGAAGAACTATATGTACATGGATATTAAAACAAGAATCAATCAGAAATTCATTACCGGAGAAGTGATGAAAAAATTTTCATGGAAAGCTGTTATTAAGATGACCAATATTATTGATGTATTCATAAAGCACTAAGGATGAGTACTCATGATGAGGTGCAGTATCTACTTGTACAATAGCTTGAATATTTACCGATATGGTTGGCTTTTGGAAATGACCATGAGAAAGATAACGGAAAGTGAATTAATTTGTCTATGTTAATTTTCCTACGAAAAGAAACAACATATTCTCTTATAAAGAAACAACAATGAGGTTCCGTATGCCGACAATAGCTGAGTATGATATTTGAGGCAAAACTGCCATGGAGAATCCAAGTTAAGAAGAACAGGAAGTAATTGGCTACAAATATGGAATAATGGACTAGTTGCTAGAAATAATCTTAAAGTATTCATATGACAAAACATGTTATAACATATAATACTGCTCCTTTAGAAGCATATACTGAAAATCGTTTACCCATATAGGATGCAACTATGAGGTTGTGTCACAAAACTTTACGAATGTATATGGTGGGCAAATTTGGGTGTTATTATAAGCTATCTCAGAAACTATAAGAGATATAAAAAAAAGTAGGTGCCATGTCCCGGTCTCTTTTTCTGAGACTAATCCAATCCCGTAAAGACCAAATCTCTATCTTCTTTTGTTTTTAAGTTATAGCCAAAAAGTCAAATTTTAGTAATTTAAAAAAATGCTCATATTTCGTTTATTTTTGAAATTAGAGAAATGGGGTTAATGCATTCTTAAGACACTTTTTTGAGTAGAATATACTGCCGTTGAAAAATTTTTAACATTGCTGATAATTTTTGAGATATAACATAAAGTTGTATTTTTTTAAATACAAACTATACTTTATTATGATGTTACTGAAAAGAGTATATTTTTAGCTTTCCAATGATGTATCGCACGCATGATGTTTCTGCGGAAAATAAGCGTTATTTTTCAATTTTTAAAATATTAAAGATTAAAATTCAAATTTTTAATTATAGTAGGCGAGGAAAACGCTAAATACTACTTAGTTACTATAGCAACGTGAGTTTACTTGTCATTTCATGAATTTTGCGAAACGAGTTTCCCGTTTAAGAAGTTCCGCATTATCTTTAAATAAAACGATAAAATTAAATATAGAATACATTGGAGTCCGCTTTGAAGATGATACATAAGTCTTCATATCCCCATTCAAACGGTGTTTCAATGGAAAGTCCGCTCCCAGTTTATGATTCATAATTTTCCTCTATCTCACCCAATTTCAAAAGAAAAGATTGCTGATATCAAAAAACTTCTACATCTTATGTTGTGGGGAAAACTGGGAAAATACTACCGAAGATTTCATTCATTGATACCGAACTGTTCTAATCTTACAACCAGTAAGTTGAGTAGAAGAAGATGACAGTTTATGACTCCTTAGTTCCTGAAGTTGTCCATATTTAATTATTCATTAATTAATACATTTTTGGTATTTTTAATAAACAAACTTTAAATGCTAATCATTTTTTATTAGTGAACAAAGTCAGGGATAAGATGCTGAGAAATTTAAATTAACTATTCAAAGTTTTTATTCGTTGGTACAAAACCAACTTATCCTGAATAATGGTACAAAACCAACTTTATTCTGTCCTATTCGTGCAAAACCATATATTATAGCCACTAGGTAGTATTTACTGTCCGGAGCCGCCTACTATAATCAAAATTTTGAACATTAGCGCTTACTATTTTCGAATTGAAAATTATCGCTTATTTTCTGCAAATACACCATACATGCGATACATCATTGGAAAGCTAAAAATATGCTCTGTTCTTTAACATCATAATCAAGTATAGTTTGTATTTAAAAAAACACAACTTTGTGTTGTATCTCAAAAATCATCAAATATATTTAAAACTTTTCAACGGCAGTATATTCCACTTAAAAAAGTGTCTTATCAACCCCATTCCTATATTTTGATAAATAAACGAAATATGAGCATTTTTTGAAATCACGAAAATTTGACTTTTTGGGTATAACTTAAAAACAAAAGAAGATTTGATGTTTGCGGGATTGAATTAGTCTCGAAAAAAGAGACCGGGACATGGCACCTACTTTTTTCGTATCTCTTATAGTTTCTGAGGTAGCCTATAATAACACCCAAATTTGCCCACCCTGTACAAACAAGTTATAAAATGTTTCTACAATAAAGTATTAAGGAACATAATCGAGACTTCCTTATAATGTTACAACAGCCTTGGATGGGATTTTATCGCAAAAACTGTTTGGAGGACTTTATCTAATATAGTCCAACATGGAAACCACGAAGATATACAGCTCTTTGACAATTCTAATGTAGTACGAAAACTGAACATCTTGTAATCTTCTAAAGAGAACGTATAGTTCTCCTTCTTATAATCTTGGTTTCAATTTGGATTATACCGAGTATTCTCTTTGCTCCCTTTTCTTTTGATATTACACATTCGTGGCTAATACGAATATATTGTATTCAGTACTTATGAAGGATTTGATACAAAAAAATATTCACTGAAAGGCGATCTGTTATATGCACACTACAGTGTGCAGTCTGCAACTATAGTTTACAGTGAGAAGTTAAAATTTGCAGTAAGTGAATTGCTGCTGGTCAGCAGTTATAATTTATTGAGAGTTTTCTAAAGCCACATTTTGCAGTGCATAGCTTTATTCGTGTTGAAATAAGCAGGAAATGATACTATTACTTCAAATTCTTCAATATTTAGGTATTCACGAGCTCTTACAAAACGACTAGCTTTGTGGTATATTGGAGCAGTCTTCCAGAGCAAATTCCTGGGTCACCTTCTCAATCATATATCTCTATCATTCTAGTGATTTGTCAATCAGTTTCTCTTCATCAGCAATTTCTTTGCTGATGTACCGACCTTTTCAGGCTTCCTTTCCAAGACCATGCTTTTTCTTTGTAGTCTGTATATCTATAATGTATATCTGTAGTCAAAATAAAATTTTGATTTGATCATTGGAAGAGCAGATATCAAATGTATCAAACAACAATGAAAATTCGAATAACTTACTTTAGAAATTTCCACGAAATTTGTTCCAAATTACACCAAACATTACATATTATAGTTCATAATAACAATTAATTTCCTTAATAAACAACATTAATAATACCCCACCCCAAAGGTTTAATAAATAAACACATATTGATTTCTATTTATTGAAACTCAAATTGTTTTGAAATTAGACTACATCCGTGGTACGAATGAACAAAATTCGTTGGGTTGTATTGCATAGGTCAATTTTTCGTTTCCAATAATTGGACAGGGAACGGGGGAGGTTTCGAAATTAATTCCTGAAACCTCGACTGTTCGCAATTCGGACGAGCTAGTAGATCAAAGCGATCGCACTTATCAAACTAATAAAGTACAATTTAACATGGCACACGC